TAACCTAAGTCCACACCAACCCAAAATCACCCCTCTAGCATCACTCATAACACAAAAAGAAAGTAACAAAAATTTCAGCAGCACTTCCCCTTATTTTCTTAATTTTTCCATCCAAACTCAATACCTATATTCATAGCAATCCAACTTCAATCACAACCACAAGTTATAGGCTATAAAGTACACTTGTTTAAGTCCACAGAACCATCCAAAATAGCCAATTATCTAGCTCAAAATCAACAACAATAAAGCTAGAAATTTGTAACCCTAAGCTGAAATTTATAACTACAAGCTGAAATTTCTATTATCAAGCCAAAATAACATATAAAAGCTAGAAAATTCACATGGAAAAACTACTAGATCATAGCCAAACTCAAATCATCATATCAAAACTGAAATTTCTCACTCAAAGCTGGAATTTTCCAATCACCACACAAACCATGAAATTTTTCAATCACCACACAAACCAAAATCAAGCCTTAAATCTACTTATATGAAAGTAATAAAAGAGAATATGGTTTCTTGATATGGTTACCTTGAAACCCTAAGAAGAAATGGAAATCAAGAGCTTCTTTCTCCCAAATCTCTCCACCAAAATCCTTAATCCTTCCTAAAGGTCACCTTTTACGGAATAGTTTGCAAGATTAAGGTGAAAACTCAAGAATTCAAGCAAGATTGGAAGTTGGAAGTTGAAGTTTTTCCTCTCTTTTCTCTCTCAAAGTGACCGGCCAAAGGAAGAGAAAAATGACGGATTTTTGGGTCAAATTTTGTTTTTATTAAAGGCTAAGAATGGTCTTAGTCAAAGTCCAAACTCCATGGCTTTTGTGACAAATGGCCTTCCAAGGTTAATCCTCATCTCTTCGTCTTTCAAATGCTAAAATATCTAGCCAACCTCTAATTATCTCTTAACACCTTATAAAATAATATTCTTTTGCATAAAACTCCTTCTAATCTTCAAAAATTTATCTCACACACCTCACTAGTGGGTCTTACTTCCATAATGCACTACGAACTTAACATATACTGACTTATAGAAGAAAAATGATTTAAAAACTTGACTCACTTATAAAAAAAAATATCTAGGAAATTAAGGCAAGCAAATAAGCAAGTAAAGTAAAATTAAAAGAAAATATAAATTAATTTTTCCAAAAGAGGAGAAAATTTAAAATAATTTTCGGGTTCTCACAGTTGACGATCGATCTGGTTATGTATTGTAGCTATGATCCATAATGGAGATTGTCCTTCATAGGGTTGGCAAAGTCCCTTATGGCAATATTCTTGCAGAGGCAAGAGAAAATTGTTTTAGGACTTTTCTTTCTCTTTGGTTCTTGGACGGTATCTAACATAGACATTGCACTGTCTAAGTATGAGAGGTTAAAGCTACTTGACGACTAATTAAAGAAAAGGTTATCAGATTCCAGATAGTGTTGGATGGTACAGCATTTGAAATGGACATGGGAAAGGATCATTATGTTTTGTTTTATGACTTGGCATGAGTTGTAAGAATTTCGTATTCCATGAAAATCAAAGAGAAGCTATTGGCTTAAGTTTGGAATATAAGGCTTCTTGTGAACTAAACTAGATATTTTTTTTGGAATTGCGTCATTCATTCTGTTTCTTGTTGTACAGCTATAATCTTGGTATTGCTTTTCTTGTGAAATGGGAAGGATCAAAATCCAAGATTGACAGTTCCAACCGAACATTTTTGGTTTTAGTGAAAATTAAGACTATTGAGGTTTATGTATACGGTGCCCCCTTTTCCTTCTGTTCTTCCTTTCTCTTTCTTTTAAAGAAATGGTTTACATATGTTGTCCTTCTGCATGAATATTTACCAACAACATTTTAGGCAATCTCCAACTTTATTTGTGTTTGCTCTTCTTAGAATTATAATGATTTGAGGACCTCATGGTTTAGAGTTGACACGTTTTGCGAAGATGGACAAGCTCATTGACTTTAATTTGATAATACTGTCATAAATAAGAAGCTTTTTTTTCTTTTTTGGATGGGTAGAGAATTGTGTAATTAAGATTAGCGACACTAAAGGATGTTCTGCTATTATGGTTCTGGACCAAGGAGGCTATGTCATTTTGGCAAAAAGGTTCTAAATCTGAATATCCTGTTGAGACTGCTAGTTAGATTTTGTCCATTAGTATTCTTGACAACCAGGAACAGGCTTTCATTGCAACTGTATTAGGCTTGGAAAAATTGTTCGCATGTAGATTAGGGTAGGAAAAGGAATACTTAAGACTGGAATATGCATTTATCTGCATTCAACCATAGTTTAAGAATAGTTTCTCAACTTTAAGGTTTAGAAAATTGGAGAAAGAGTTAGAATTGGAATATTATGAAACAAGATATTTTTGATTGATGCATTATCAAATCATCAAAAATGACAAAGCAGAGGAGGCAGACAGGAGTTTGGTTTGTTTTTTCTTAATTTGGGTCCTTCTGAGGGCCCAAGGGGGCGGGGGAGCATATGACTTCAGACAGGACAGCATACAGCAGATAACCTGAGAATAAATTCAAAACAACTGAAGTTATGTTTTATTTTAGTTGCTTGGAGTAAAGGCATTCGATGAATGTACTAAACCAGATTCTTTTGTTATTACTATTATTCTTTTATCATGATTTTGTGACTGATTGAACTTGCATTTGGGCTTCTCAAGCATTGAAGACTAATCTCTTATGGCAATATCTAACAAATTTCCACTAAAGCATGACAATTTGTGAGAATGCTATCAAATTTCCACTACGATTAGAATATTGTATATACTTATGTAATAAAGATCTTAAGTCTGCCTTTCTTCTGTTGGACTGTTTCTGAAGTCTTTAAGTTAAGTAAGATTACCATTTTTAAAGTTCTTAAGACAATGAAACCTTAAAGGTAAAACTTACCAAAAGTGACATCAAGTGGTGGTCTCCTGTTTATCACTAATTTGAATAAGCTTGGGAACACACATCAAGTACGACTTTACATATACTGATTTCATAAAGTACAATGTATCTTTATTAGCATGTCAAGCCAAAAGTTTTATTTAGTAATTTGAAGTTTGTAACCTGGTTCTTAAGTTCGAAACTGTGACCAATTATTGCCCCATACGAAGAGATATGTATGTGATGACAGCACTAAGCAAGCTAAAGTTGTTTGGTATGTTTTCTGTTTGACATGCAGATGATAAGTGCTCAGAATAGGTTACTGCATGAAATTATTGCAGAATTTTATGGAAAGATGCTGAAATTAGTGTTGGCAGATTTTAGATATGTTACGCAACATGAGGAGGTGAAAGAGATTAAATTAGAGAGAAGATATCAAACTTCTTTAAGCTATAGTAGTTACTACGTGAAGGCTCAAGTGTGGTTGTGTAAAATTTTAGGCACTCCTATCTGGAGAAAATAGGTGATCATCATGACAAGAACATTTTTTTTGTTTCTAGTCTTTCTTGTTGAAATCTCCATGGTAGGTAAAGACTCTAGGTCACATGATGTTTTTTTTCCCTGAAATGCTTTATACTTTACATGGACATGCAACATAACCTGAAGACTAAGGTCTGTTTGATAACATACAAAAGTGCTGAAACTGAACCTTTTCAGACATTCAGATGTTTTGAGTGTTTGATAAATGAAAATCCATCTGCTGAACTTGTTAAGTAGTGCTGAACTTGTGTGTATTTTTTTCAGCACAAGAATCCTAACTGAATGTTTAATTCTAATAAGAATCAATAGAATTACTTCAAATACCCTATCTTATCTATCAAATCTACCCTTGTTTGCTAATTATATTCGAAGTTCTTATCTAATTAAATATCCTGATATTCTCTATCTAATGGTTTTCTGTTTCTTTTTCACCCTTTTAATGACTTTCACATCTTCTCCATACTCCTCATATAATATATGTCATCTTTTATATTAATTTGATTTAAAAATAAATAGTCATTTTTATACCTAACAATTTTAAGTTAATTAAATCATAGGTTCTGTTTCTTTTTTGAATGAAAAGATATAAGGGCAAAATTGTCAAATTAAACTTATTAAGCATTCAGTTATAAATATTTATCAAACAGTATAAATAAGTTTAGCATTAAAATTCAGACATTCATATATTTCTTTTCAGTGCTTAAAATTCAGTAAATTAATTGTTTCACTATTCAGATTTCAGAATTTAGACTTCAGAATTCAGATTCAATTTTATCAAACGGAACCTAAGAAACTTAAGAACAAGCAAACCACTGTAAATGTATCTGCCTTGATTATCGCCCATTAAACGTTATCAAGTGTGCCCACATATGATGGAATAGACATAACAGATTGTCAAAAATTTAAAATCTAAGGGCATTCCATTGTATAGCATTATGATTGGGAGAAGTCTTGGAATATGAGCATATGTTCCAAATTTCGTGAAACTACTATCCTCAAATTTTGAACCTTCATCTTTTTCATATTCTTTATATGTGGACTTTGCTTTTCACTTCAAAAGCTCTGTATGCATTTGAATAGATTTAGGTGCACAGTGCTTATACTTCCTAGAATGATCATAGATTCATGGGAATGTATATACAGTACTCTTGCTGCTTGGTTGAGTTACTAAGTGATTTAAATCTATTAAGTTTCTTGGATGATTGGCATTACATTTTAGCAGAAGATCTGCATAGATAAAGTTTGAAGTTAGCGAATGATCTCCTGAGGGAATGTGTTGTTGAACTTGTTTAAACTTTATTTGGGTAAATGAAGTCGGGCGAGTAGTTGACAATACATCTAAAAATGAAGGGACATATTACTAATGAAATTGATGTTTTTTTTTCTGCATAGATTTTCTGTGAAACTGCCTAAGACTATTTTTCTTAACTGTTTTATTTTGTGTTTTATGCGCTCACCCAGAGCCAAAATTTCTTCCAGTATTGTCCCCTTATATTCTCATTAGTATGACACTGGATAATGTTGGACTGTTACATTTCTAATTGGAGTAAAATGGATCGTGTTGTAGCTGGTTATTGAGTGCATAGATATTTATGTAGTCCTTTATGTTATATCTATTATTTTATTTGCAGGAGTTACTTGAATTGGGTGAAGCTGTTGGCACTCAAAATAGAGGTCTTTCGCAGGAACTTATTTCCTTGCTTCCAGTCTCCAAGTTCAAGTGTGGCTTATTTTCACGAAAGAAATCAAGACATGAGAGGTAATAAAGAGAGATAGAAAGTCTATTCTAGTTCTGATTCATTTAGTATTGATGACGTGTTCTTAGTACAAGTCATCCTGTTTAAAGAATGTCCTTTGGTAATTAGAGCATGTTCATGGGCAAAACATCTTTATGTATTATGCTGGGGGTGTCAGACCAATAATATAATGTAGTTATCTTAAAGGACAAAGGAAGTTGTGAGCCTTGATGTTGCAAGGTTGACAAAAATGCTTATGGTTGCTTTAGGTAGATGAACTTGTGGTAGTAATCATTTGATGACTATACATGGTCTCATACTCGGTGATGTCAATGTGATGTTCAGCATTATTTTACCATACATCTCTTGACATGGGACAATACTGAATTTGATTAATAGTTTAATTTCATCCCTTGTACTTTATTATGAGTCTGAAGATGACTTTTCCCCATGTATAGTTATTATTCTACCTAAGTTGGACCTTGCATCGGAGAAGGTAGTATCATTCGTCATTGTGAGGGAACTGATAGTCCATTTCTAGCAATAACTATGCATTTCTACCATCCTGATTCTCCCACAATTTAAAGGTGCTTAGCTTGCTGTATTTTTGTTGGAAGGTGTGTTATCTGCCAGATGGAATACAAGCGAGGTGATCGGCAAATGACTCTTCCATGCAAGCACATGTATCATGTAGGTTGTGGCAGCAGATGGCTTAGCATCAACAAAGTAGGCTACTGAACCTTTCCAAAAGTTTTAACTGGAAAAGCTTTGCGTCCATAAAGGACTTATAGACGACTGTTTTGATCTTGCAGGCTTGTCCAATTTGTTACAAAGAGGTTTCGCTTAATGGATCGAAGAAATAATCAGCATAGAGTGGTTCTTTTCTTTGTTGTTCTGAGGTTACAGCACTGCCTATTTCTTCTCCTTTTTCTTTTTATATAGTGTCTTTATTTTCCTTTCATAATCTCACTTTCCAGTATAAATAGGTCATTCGTCGTGACATGATATTTGTATCAGCGAAGTTGGTTTTTTTTATTATTATTATTTTTGTGGAAAAGAGCGAAGTTGGTGTTTGTACAAGTTTTTATGTCGCTTTTACATTTCTGTATGCTTAGTGTACTTGTATTCTAGCTGTTTTGCGGTTTTCCTTCTTGTACGACTTTCTTTGGATGCAATGGTAACCGTGTTTGACGCAATGAAATTTGCTTGCAATATAGCCTCAAAGTTAAACTTTACTTGGAAAAAAGCTGGTTAACAAATTTACTTATTTTCACTTGACAAAATGGTTTTAAGAAAGTTATTCTCTTCCTCTCATTTGCTTTTAAGAGTGGTGTGTATATAGAATAAAAATGTCTAGTTGGGGTTCAAGCTTTGGAAATAAAATTTAAAAAATTTATTTAGATCATATATTGGACATCGATAAAATTAATCTTGGTAAACTTGGCTGATTTTCAATCTCTAAAAACTGGTAAAAGAATTTGGGTATGGTTTTTGAAATTCGATACCCGTTTCTAGATTAAAAGTTACCCGACTATCTTTATTAGATTGTGTATTAGTGTTACTGGATTGATGGCTGAGGTCCAATTAGTTAGACTAAGCATTGACGTTCTTAGACTGATGGTTGATCCTGCTGATACGTTCTGCACAAAAATTATTTCTTAAGAAATTGTGATAACCTAATTTATGTTCCAACCCACCCCCCACCGCCGCTTCCCCCGAAAAAAAAATTGCTGATGCTTTTCAGCTCTCCCAGGAGTTATCTGCTCTTTTTTTTATTAGGGTTAAAAACAAAAAAGCCCTCTATGGTATACCTAATACACAAAAAAGTCCCCCGTGATTTTAAAATATACAAAACGACACCTTATGTTTTGAATTAAATTACAAACTAACAGAATTTGTTAAAGTTAATGAAAATGACGGTTTTGTCTGTTAAACTTACCGATTCCGTTATATTTACCGTTAAATTTACTAGATTTCGTTAAATTTATCGAATTCCATTAAATTTAACGAATTCTGTTAATTTACAATTTAGTTCAAAACATGAGGTGTCGTTTTGTATATTTTAAAACTACGAGGGGTTTTTCTGTGTATTAGATATACCACATGGGGCTTTTTGTTTTTAACCCTTTTTATTATTCTTTTTATTTGCTTAAAAGGATGACAATATTGAATGAATGGTGTCTTTAAGCAGGCTTGAATCCTCCATGGGCATTATGAGAGCCACTTTTCGTGATTGAAATGGTACAAGGATAATTGCTGTAAAATTATGTTATTTAAAGATGAATTTTATATATGATAACATTTGAAGCAAATCTCTATTTTGGGATGCCACTAATGTATCACAATAAGCACCAGAAATTTTAAGAATTTTTGTGACCTTGAGAGCACATTAATTAGGATATAAATAACATTGATATTACTAATTACATCATAATATGTTTCACTTATTGAATTAGATATACCCTTATTAGACCTACGAAACCTTTGTGTACTTGAAACTTCATGTTGCACCTCATTATCATCAGTTGCAAGCTCCAATTCCATCTCTGTTTACCATCCTCTTATGGCTCTTGAATTTTTTCAAGTTCTATCTTACCTCTACTAGTTTAGAAAAAAATTAATTTTTTAAAGTTGGTATTATTATTGAAAAACACTTTTGTTCATTGGGACAATAGAAATAGTGTCCTCTTGTTTCCTAAAATACTGTACAAGACGACTTTAACTGGACATGAGCACCAACATGTTCGATTATGCCCTCTGCATAAGTAGGGTAATCCCAAATTTTTTATGTGAAGATTTAGTGTCTTAATATACTCTATATCTCATATAGTATAGTTTAAACATTCTTAGATGGAATATGATTTAATGTTAAGTGGCAATTTTATTCAGGACATACTCCAAAAATGACTTTGGTAAGCTTGCATGGCGTACAATCTCACCGTATCTCATGAATACAGCTTTGGTAAACTTGCACGGCTTATAATCTCATAGTATCTCATGAATTTGTGATTTTTTTCCTAAGACACTCAATAATTGTCTAATAGAAAACAATTGCTTAAGAATTTCATTCTCCATTAGACAGTTTGAAACCCTTGGTCCAAGTATTTTCCGCCATTTTTAAAATCTAAGTAATCTAAAACTAACCAAGCCGTTTTTGTACTCTGTACTTAAACTTCAACTTCTTAAACTCTTGAAAAGTCTTGAATTTGTACTTCAATAAGTGCATATATCTACTTTTGAATAGTTATTAATAAAAGCAATAATGTAGGGAAAACTACCTCTAAGCTTAAGTTGTCATAAGATCAAGATGCATCATTATATATGAGTTCTAGCAATTCTTTTATTCTCTCACTATTACCATGAATGGTGACTTGCTAAACTTATCTTGCAAACAAGACTCGCAAGTTTCACAGGATTCATAACTAAATTGGTCTAAATTTTCACCTTGATGTAATTTAGTAAATGTGCTTTTGTTAACATGGCCTAGCATACAAATACTAAAGTAAGATGGTCTTGAGTCATCTAATATTGAGAAATGATATCAGTAAAAAAAATATTGGTTAATGGAGCAGCAATGGTACTGAAGTCTTTGACAAAACGTCGGTAAAATCCAGCGCCAGGCTGTGGAAACTATGCACATCCGCAACGGTCTTTTGGCGTTCGCCATTGTTGGATGGTTTCGATCTTTGTCTCGTCCACCTTGATGCCCTGTGAACTAACAACATAGCCTAGAAACACAAGCTCATTAGTACAAAAAGTGCACTTCTTAAGGTTAGCATAGAGGCTCGCCTTCCGAAGTGTTTCTAATACCAATCTCAAGTGCTCCATGTGTTCATGCATGCTTCGACTATGGATCAAAATGTCATCAAAGTAAACAATGACAAATTTACCTAGAAAGTGCCTTAAAACATGGTTCATTTATCTCAATCTCTTGTATTGCTAAGGTGAGTTGTGAAGGACCCCACTCCTTCCTCTAATGATGTTCAATTCATGATTGGTGGTGGTATAAGATGCACTTTTATGGATTATATCTTGATTTTTGGTTGAATTGGTGAAGTTTTATAATTATTGGGGATTTTTCTATTTTAATATGAGCACGATTGTGTGTCTATCTATGATGATTGGAAATGGTATATAATGATTCTAAAAGGTGGAAAAAGTGGATAATTGCAACCAATTTCTGTTTTGGAAGAAATTTTGGAAAGTTAGGGTTATGATGAATACATTCTGCCCGAATTTATAGCTCCTAGTTAGAGGGTGAATTGGCCTTGTATTAAAACATAAAAGTTGTAGGGAATGACATTTTAGAGGTGCCTACAAAATATCAGGTCAATCGGAGTAGCGTAGAATGAGAAAAGTCGAAATTACTATTGTTGTTCTGGTTTTACACGAATGTAAGAATTGCGCCTGTAATTGGTTTTTTTGGCTGGAATTGCTTCCGAATTGGTTGTTGAGGTCTTCTGATGAAATTTAGCCCTGTTTCTTAGCTTTCAGATGGTTTTTGAATTTCTGGATTTGGACTTGGATAGCCTGATTTATGATGTTTCCGCTAGAATGCGTTCTGTGAATCTATTTTTGTGATTCTGGTATGGTATCTTGCATTTTTGACCTGGTTACACTCGAAACTGGGTTGAGTGACCTTCTGTAATATTGTAGCCCTGTCTCTTAGCTTCAAAACTCTGGGTCTTGTACCTTCATCCGACAATCGAAGCACCTTTGGTACCATTACCGCAATATGACGTCAAAACCTGTTTTTCTGGTTTTGAGCTTAACTTTCATTTCCGGACTTTTCCCAAGCTTGACTTGTACTAGTACTACTTGGAGCTTGCCGAATGGCTATTGGATGAACTTGTTGTTGTGTGTGTACCTTTGGGTTGGAATGAGGAAATAATGAAGCCATGATGGCTGGAAAAGTTAGTAAATTCAGGGGAAGTGCTGTCTGAACTTTGAAGGGATTTGTTTGCATTGAGTTTGTGATCTAAGACTTGGATTTGAGCAAGGCAATGTTATATGCTGGATGATTTCTAAGCCGTGGAGGTGAGTGACCCTAAACTATTTCCAAAGTATTTGTGAAACGTTTCTTGCATTATTTACTTTTGAACTGTTTCCAAAGTTACTTTTGAACTGTTTTCGTGCATATCATGCGTGCTTATATGAGAGTGTTCCTTGTTTGATATATTTCCATGACTTATTGGCTTGTTATTATGGATTGATAATGTGTTAAGTGCTTTCAATGATTGTTAAAATGAGTTTTCTGGGCGAGTGTGTACTTTATCGCACTAGACCTAAATAAATGTGAAATTTTCATGATTAATGATTAAATGCTACTTGCGCATGAATGTAAGCCTTTTGGGCTGAACTGGCCATTGCCCCTTGTTACCGGTCGTCTCGAGCCAGAAGCGGACTCGGTCGGGCGATTAGGGACCTGGGTAAACGTTTGGTATACTCGAGTATTACCTTTGTAGGTTGGTGGAGGTTGGTGGAGCCTGGACGATGTCCGGGAAAGGTTGAATGAAAAAATGCAATTTCAAATGGAAAAAAAAAAGGAAATGGCAGGAGAACGAACGTATCCTTTTCATGAATGTTACAATCGCTTTCCATTGTACATGTTTCTTGAATTATTGATCTCCATATTTAATGTTTTGTAAATGTTGTAATTGTTTCTGGACTTATCATTTGATTTATGACATCATTGAAATGAACTATTGTTAAACCGATTTGATTACTGATTTTACCGGTTACTCGCTGAGCTTCTACCTCACCCCAAAAATATTTTATTCCCCTCCACAGGGCTCGTGGCGAAGGAAGGCTTGTTGTGATTTTATTGTTGTGGAATTCCTCTTGTATAATAGTTGGATCATGGATCAGAGTGGCGCAGCGGAAGCGTGGACGCTTCGCTTTTGGATATGTAATTAGTGGAGAATTTAATGTAATATTTGAGATTTATCTTGTAATCTGTTTGAGGACTGTAGTGAGCGACTGAGTCCCGGCGAGAGATGGGCAGGCAGCCCGCCGAACCCTCTGGTTCGCCTTAGGGGGAGGTGGGGCTGTCACAGTTGGTATCAGAGTTTAGGCTTCAG